TGATTCATGCCGGTGCATCCAATTTTCTGTGGCCATTCGCCGTTCGCTACGCCGCTTACCAGCTTAACCTCTGGCCGCGCTCCCAGCGGCCGCATGTTTCGCCGACCCTTCTTTGGACCGGGTTCCCTGGTGACGCGTCCGCGTTCCATGCCTGGGGCTACCTTGCTCACGTTTGTGCCTCTGGCACGGACAAGCTCACTGCCCGCACTGTCCCCGGTGTCTTCCTCAGTTTCCCCCTTGACTCGTCTGACTGGCACTTTTTCCACCCGCCGTCTCACCGCTTCTTTCAATCCCGTGACGCTACTTTCGACGATTCTGTCTCCTTTTCCACCGCTTTCCCCACCGTGGTCTCCCGGTTTCCCCTCCCCTGTTTCTGGTTTTCACTCCCCTGATAGCCCCTACTCACCTTCCTCCCCGTCCTACTCCGTCTGGTGTGTCTCACGTTACTCCCCTCCCGTCGGTTGTCCCGGTCGAGGAGTTGGCTGACTCTGGTGGCCCTGCGATGCCGTTCTCGCCGCCTGCCTATCCCCCGGTGTCTCCTCCTCCGCCGTCGCAGCAGCCGCTGCCGCCGCCGCCGCCATTGCCGCAGCCGTCGTCGCCGCCACAGCCGTCGTCGCCGCCACAGCCGACGCCACAGCAGCAGCAACACCCGTTCGCGGACACTAGGGGTGCTGGGGTTGAGGAGGGTGCTAGTCCTGGGGTTCATTTTGTGGCTTGTCTCGACAGGCCTGGGGGTGCCACCGGTGCTGGAGAGGGTTCTCGCTCTAGGGGTGCTCGTTCTGGGGGTGCTGGAGTGGAGTGTTCAGGGGGTGGCCGTGGTGTAGTTGGCAGTCTAGGTGTCGGCGTCGAGCAGCAGTCCTTGCCGGTGTCCGCCCTTCGCCTGCTCGGCCTTCCCTCCCCTGACCGCTCGCCTGCGCCTCCCCCGCCCCCTCCTTCTTTTCCTATCTACGGCCCTGTTTTCCCTCCACCGGACTCGTCTCAGGCTCGACTTCCCCCTCGTTCCCCTCTTGTGTCTCCTGTCTCTTGACCCGACACATCGGTCTCACAACTGGTCTCGCTGTCCCTCTCGTGCTCGTCCTGTCTCTCCTGTTCAACGTTCCCACCCTATGTTGCTTCGTTCCCACGCGTCTCGTCCTCCCCTCCTGCCTTCGCCTCCTCCATCATCGCTCGTTGTCAAGCCTCCCCCTCTGTCTGACTACCTTCGTGCCGCTCGTCCTCTTGTTCCTTGGCCCTTGCCTCCCTCGTTACTGACCCGTCTGTACTTGTCTCCAGTCTTGACGCTCTTGTCGTTGTTGTAGCTGACTTTGGCAGTGACGTCCTAGAGGACAGGCAGTACGAGCTTGACTTCCTGTCAGAGGCTGCTCCCCAGCTCTGTTCCATGCAACTAGTCCCTGAGGGTGACCCAGACGTCTTCGACATCCTGACACCTCGCACTTACGCTGAGGCGACCTCGGGACCCTGGGCCTCAGAGTGGATAGCTGCCATGGAGCAGGAGATGGCATCTTGGAGATCCACCGGCACCTACGTCGACGCAGTTCCCCTCACCCGAGGTGAACGTAGTTGATGGCCGGTGGCTCTTCAAGGTGAAGCGCCCCCTTGGAGAGCCGCCTGTGTTCAAGGCAAGCTACGTGGCTAGAGGCTTGAGACAGCGCGAGGGTGTGCACTTCTTTCAGACCTTTGCACCGACCCCGAAAATGACTACTCTTCAAGCGCTGCTAGATGTAGCAGCACAGCGTGAATAGGAGCTCCACTCCCTCGACTTATCGACTGCTTTTCTTAAGGGCAGCCTTCACGAGCAGGTCTACCTGCGCCGTCCACAGGGCTTCACTGGTACCTTCCCTCCTGGGACCCAGCGGCTCCTCCGGCGCCCGGTCTTCGGCCTACGACAGGTGCCCCGTGAGCGGCACGACACTTTGCTGACGACCTGGTCTTTGCTACTGCAGACAGAGACGCACTGGCCTGCATGAAGGCCAAGCTGCTGAGGAGACCGCCTGCATTGACCTAGGAGAGCTGCGTTGCTACCTTGGCCAGCAGATCTCCAGGGACAGAGCAGCGCGCACCATCACCCTCACACAGTCACACTTGGTGCGCTAGGTCCTTCAGAGGTTCGGTCTTCAATTCTCCTCTCCACAACCCACACCTCTGCTAGTAGACCACATGCTATCGGCTCCAGTTCCTGAGGAGTCAGTAGAGCCCAGTGGTCCTTGCGCAATGCTGGTGGGTTGCCTCATGTACCTGTTTACTTGCACTCGTCCAGGTCTCGCATACCCTCTCAGCATCCTGGCTCGCTTTGTGGCCCCAGGCAGACACCGACCATAGCACTGGACGGCCACTAAGAGGGTTTTGTGTTATCTAGCAAGTACATCGTGCATGGGGCTAGTGCTGGGAGGACGCAGACTTGTGGTCCTTACTGGGCAGACAGACGCTTCTTGGGCGGACGACGCCCAGACACTCAGGTCCTCCCAGGGCTACTGCTTTAGCCTTGGTTCAGGTGCCATCTCGTGAAGGTCCACTCGCTCCTCGTCGCCTGGTTTAGCTGTAAGGCTGAGATCTACGCTGGTGCCATGGCGGCACAGGAGCTCCGCTGGCTGACCTTCTTGCTCACCGACTTAGGTGAGCGGCCTAGCTCTGCCCCGATTCTGTACACTGACAACAGGGCCATGATCCTCCAGTGTCAGGAGCCTCAACTTGAGGGCAGAGCGAAGCACATCCAGCTGCGGTACTTCCTCCTGCGCGAGCTACATCAGCGTTGCCAGGCCCGCGTAGTACACTTGGCCTCCGGTGCCAACACAGTTGATATCTTTACGAAGGCGCTTGCGCGTAAAGATCATCAGCGGCACTGTTTGCAGCTTGGTCTAGTTCCTGTAGCTACTCACTTGCTAGGACCTTGATTGTGTACTCCTCTTTATATTTACCTTCCTGACTGGCCTTGTGGCTTCTCTTCTAGTGGCCAGACTAGTAGTGCCGCCCTGGTTTGCTCTTGTCTTGTTTGTACTCTTGCTGACTGGTCTTCGGACCCCTACCTCAAAGGTTGGTCTAGTAGTGCCACCCTAAGCTGCATGTTTCTTGCTCAGCACTGTCCCTTATCTAGCCTAGGGGGTGTGTCAACTTATGCATATGTTTATATGTAGAAGTTATAGGCTAGATAGGATTGTGTTCTTAGAGGGTACAACTCCAACTCTATATCACCCATGTTCTCACTTGTTCTAGTTCATTCTGCTATTCTAACAGCACCCTCCCAGCTTCTTGCTGATATCCTTATGCATAACCAGGCAGCCATGGCCCCTCCTAGGACTCTGGCCAATCGTGTTGAAAATCCACCCGTCGATACTCAGAATATTTCGGAACCCGAGGCGAAATTGCGGGTGATCGCGGCAACAAGCGCCGGGTAGAGTGCGACCTCGCCCTTTCTGCCCTCGACCTGTTGCTGCGCAGTGGCGAGGTCAACCAAGTTGACCTTGGTGAGCCACGCGCCAGCGAGCAGCAGGCGTCGCAAGTGGCGGACGGCGCGTCACCTGCATACGCCAGTGTGCAGAAGGCGCTGAACGGTAGGGTGGGCCCCTCGCGTCAGAACAAGTGAGGCCGCGGGGCGGCCTCGTCCAGCGCGCCAGCACCTGCCGCCCCTGCTTTAACCAGCGAATAATTGGCGGCACAGCTGGCGCTTTTACAGCAAAACACGCCCGCAGTTACAGCAGTTGCGACTACCATTTCTGCCTCCACTAAAAATGAAGATGCAAAAAAGGAATCGCTGCGTCATGCTCTTCCTTCCAAGATCGCCAACGCCGAGAAGGAACTCGCCGCTGCCACGCAAGACAATGCCAAGGAAGACATTGACTCCGACAATGAGGCTAGTGAGGCTCATACACTAATTCTTTTGCACCCACCGAGCACCTCCCACCTCTTCCTTCCTCTAACCCAACCATCCCGGCATCATCGTTCAACAACGTCGCGGAACGCGAGCAAGCCGAGTTCCCAGAAGACCTGTGAGCGTACCTGAAGCACGTGGAGCACAAGGTGTGCCACGGCGACACATCGAGCTCGCTCGAATACTTCGAGGTGGCGTACACGCTCATCGCCAAGCACTTCGAGCTCCTCCAAGTCACCGACACCTCCGACTTCAAGACGGCACACCGCTTCAAGCTCTACCAAGAGAAGAATGTCCTCACCTCATGCCCCTTCAAGCAAGCGGTTGCAGACGTTGCGGCAATGAAACGCGCGCAAGGCTTTTATGGCCGTGGCCATCCTGTTGGAGGCCGCGACCCTATGGGCTTTGAAGGAAAGTACGGCCCTCCACCGAGCGGCGACCAGTGGGGCTTCCGAGGCACTTGCTTTCGCTGTGGCCAGCCGGGCCACAGAGCGAACAACTGCACTGGAAATGGGAGCGGGACACAAGGGCCCGCACCCGTTGTGTGAAAAGTGAATGAGGATTTTTTGTTATTATTTTGTGGACCTCGGAGTAGGTGCCACTGCACCATGGGGTGCTTAGGGCCGCTGGCCATTCCCTAGGTGGGAATAAGAATGAAAAGGCCGCTGGCCAAACCCGATAGAGGGTATGAGTATAGGCCATGGGCCAAGCCCCAAGGGGGGAGAAAACATTTTTTTCAACTTTCCTCGGTAGTGGCACCCTTGGAGGTGCCGGTTCTTTTCGTTTCGTTATTTTTTTTTAAGGTAGAATCACTGATGGGTAGTGGCCAAGGCTTGAGGCCTGAGACTAGAAGCACACCGGGCAAGCATTTCAGTTCTTGTTGATCTCATTTTCATTTAAATATTATTGAAAATTCCAATCTGAAAAAGGCCTCCCAAGGCCTTGGAACCTCACGAGGCAGCTCTGATCTTGGAGCCTAGGAACCTCTCATGGGTGCCCTTGCTACTCCATGGCTAACCTAGAAGAAGGCACAACCAATAATGGGTGGAACCGCATCAAGGCACATGAAACCAATCACTTTGTTTGGCCTACAATGTCCAGCGCGAGGCACATAACTAGCCTTAGCTTCCATCCCATCGTATGCCCTTCGACCAGCCATTGGAGGGACTTGGCTTACTGGAACATACGGTGCTTCGCAAGAGAAAGATGGTGCAAGCGAAAGAGAGAGAGAGAGAGAGAGAGAGAGAGAGAGAGAGAGAGAGAGAGAGAGAGAGAGAGAGAGAGAGAGGAGAGAGAGAGAGAGAGAGAGAGAGAGAGAGAGAGAGAGAGAGAGTGAGAGTGAGAGAGAGAGAGAGGGGGAGAGAGAGAGAGAGAGAGAGAGAGAGAGAGAGAGAGAGAGGGGGAGAGAGAGAGAGAGAGAGAGAGAGAGAGAGAAAGAGAGAGAGAGAGAGAGAGAGAGAGAGAGAGAGAGAGAGAGAGAGAGAGAGAGAGAGAGAGAGAGAGAGAGAGGAACGTGAGAGAGACAGGAACGTGGGAAAGCAAGAACGTGAGAAAGCAACATCAAAAGTGCATGCGCTGTGGCGTAGCATGCGACCAGCTGCTGGGCCAGATACATATTTCCCTAGTCCCTTACACTCATGTAGTATCAGGCAACGGCCTTCATGGATACATCCCTAGCATAAAAATAAATAAATAAATAAATATGACCACGTTTGGTGGACTTCACGTTTATTCTCCCAAGCATTTGCGAACCTTACCTCATTTTTTGGGTTGGATTCTAGTTGCAGAACTACTCATGCATGACCTTATGGGGCTTGGTGATCCAATCGAATACATAGTGACGGACCAGACGGTCTTAACCATGCGTGGGCGCTTGTGAGACGCACTATCCTGGTGGCGTTCGTGGTGCACCAGTAGCTTGATCATGTCAATCATTGATAGAGGCTACTCGATTCCTTGGAAACAAGGGCCCCCACAACCTTTTCGGAGCACCAACCATGCGGGGGCCCAAATTTACGAGGCATTCACGAAGTCAAGCAAATTCCCAAATTCAAGTACGAGGGACTCAGCCGCATCGTCGAATTGGCGCGTGCGGGTGATTGGATGTTTTCAATCGACCTGAAGTCCGTCACCCCGACATTCGCCCGTCGTACTGGAAATTCCTGGGTTTCCAATTTCGTGGACACTCATATTGTTTCTGCTCCCTTCTGTTCGGGCTGGCTACAGCACCGTTCATCTTCACGCAGTTGATCAAGCAGCTCGCGCGCCGCTGAAGAACAACGGGAGAGCGTGTTATACCGTATGTGGGCGATATCCTCTTCCTTTGTCATTCGGAAGCCAACGCATGAGAAACTTGCAACCAAATTATTGGTGATCTTCGCAATGCGGGCCTCGTGATCAACGCCAAGAAATCCCACCTTCAACCAACCCATCGCTTGCGCTTCCTAGGCTTGGTTCTTGATACCAGAGTCGGTCAATTCTTTGTGGGTCGTGAACGACATGGCATACTGCAAGCTACTATCCAGTAGCTCCTGGAAGCCGGACGCAGCCAGTCCAAGGTCCCCATCCGGCACGTTGCACGGGTGACAGACATGCTTGTTTCAAAGGCTCTAGCACTCGGGGCCACTGCTCGGGCATTTAGCCACGCCCTGCTGCAGACCATCAATGACGCTCCTTCCTGGAATAGCATAGTACCACTATCATCTATCGCTTGCGAGGAGTTGGAATTCTGGTCAACCGAGTTTGACCACTTCAACGGTGCCCCATTTCATGTGTGCAATGTTGTAATTCACGTCGACGCAAGCAAACATGGCTGAGGGGCTACTCTCAACACATTCTCAGGCAACCTTTGTGAGGCCAGCATGAACATGCCCGTCGCTTTGCGACACACGTGCAGTACCCATCGAGAGATAGAAGGGGTATTATGGGCACTGCAGACATACAACGACCTACTCCAAAACAAGCACGTGCTCGTGCACGTGGATAATCAGCGAGTTTTGTTCGTATTGAAGAAGGGTGGCTCATACAGCCCCGATCTCACCATCGCCTGCAAGGAGATCATTCGCACGCGAGTTCGCCTTATTATGGAGTGGATCCCTCGTGAACTCAACCCACATGCGGATGAGCTTTCCAAGATACTTGATCGCGACGACTACACGCTGAAAACGCCGTGGTTCAACATCCTGGATCGGCGCTGGGGTCCCCATTCCATTGATCTCTTTGCCAATGCTAGCAACGCCAAGCTGAGTCATTTCTGTTCTGGTCACCCGCACCCCAAGGCTACAACGATCAATGCTTTCACGATCTCTTGGTCTGCAGAACACGGCTTCGCATTCTCCCCACCTCAATTGATCCCCGCCATCCTCCACCATGCACAGCATACACACACGTCTCTCACCCTGGTAGTTTCCCACTGGCCCAGCGCCAGGTGGTGGCCACTTCTCCAACCATCACCGCCAGCTCGGGCTAGCCCCATAAAAGCTCACATCCGACTCACACACAGCATCCAATGCTTAGTACCAGGCACACACACTAGTGCCTTCTCCGGCTCTGGCCTACCTGATACCCTCATGCTCGCTCCGCAAGTCGCGTTTCCCAAATGTCTGCCTCCCTGCCTATATCGCAACCGGATCTAATTCCAACCCTGCAACGTGAGCTGCTCTCGGTTATGGCACAAACGCGCGCAGACTCTACAATTCGAACTTACAAATCTTACAAGGAGCAGTTTCGTTCCTTCTGCATCAAGGTCAACCCTCCCTTCCTACCAACCTCGGACATGACACTCGCCTTGTACCTTGTCTATGCAATTCAAAACAAGGCCACTCTCTCAGTGACACAACTCACATGCTCGGCTGTCAGCTTAGCTCACCGCATAATTGGGACATATTGCCCCAGTACCGGCCCTGTCATGTCACAATTTCGAGAATTCGCCAAGCGGCAGTGTCCCCAGCCCAATCGGACCAAGGAACCGGTCTCTTTACATCAAGTGCACAAGATGGCCACTCAATTCATCAGTGTTAACGACATGGCCACCTTCCAGAAAGGTCTTTTTTCCCCTTCTCATGTACACTGGACATCTGCGTTACTCCGATCTCGTGGCCATCAACTGGGAGGATATCCAATTTGAGGATGACGTAATGTGGCTGCTCATCCCGCGCTCCAAAACGGACCAGGCAGGTCAGGGCTCATGGGTTCCAGTTGCTGCCATCCAGGGACAAGACCCCTCTGCCCTGTCCGATGCACCAAACGCTTCATCTGGTTGGCAGGCTATGGACCCACCATTCCCGGACCCTTAATCCGCATGTTCAGCATGGCCGCGGGCGGCGTCCTTACCAGCAAGCCGGCATCATACACCACCATACGCAACTGGTGCAAGGAGGCTTTCCATTCCATCGGTCTGGGTGAGCATCGCCTCGGCACGCACTCCATTCGTAAAGGTGCTGCGACCATCGCTGCCCACAAAGGCATAGCGGGCCGGCTCTTCAAACGTCTTGGTTGATGGCGCAGCGACATGGCTAAAGAAATGTATGTCACACCCGCCATTGACCAACTGGTTGCGGTTTCCCGTGACAAACAGGCCCTCGGGTCGGCACCATCCCTTGCACAGCATTCTCGAACTCTTGTGCGCCACCGACGACCATCTCTGTCCATGTCTCAGGTCAACTTAGTGGAATGGGAACGATGCCATTTCCACTACAAGTAGCAAGCTTTCTCAATATGTAAAATTTTAAAGTGTTCACACTTTTAAAATTGTGTATTGCGAATGCGAAGCTACTTGTAACGCAATCTTCAGCATCGTCGAAGCGTGCTATTCGCCCTTCTCCAACTATATAATGGGGTTGGAGGTCATTCTGTCAACATATATTTGTATATGTTATAGGCTAGATAGGTGCATGCTCATAAAGAGTACAACTCCTTAGGACAAAACCACCCTGTATCTCTCATTCTAGTCAACTGCGCTATTCTGAGACGCAATCATGCTAGGTTAGGTCCCCCTCCCCGCTTACGCTTCCGCCCCTAGCCCTAGCCCTAGCCCGTGTCCTAGCCCTAGCTGCGCTCGAGCCATAGCTTTGTCCGCACCGGCCCCGTCATTTCGCGCCCCGTTAGTTTGTGCCGGTCCCGCTAGTTAGCGCAACCCCCACTAGTTCGCGCCGGCCCCTTCACTTCGCGCGGGCCCCGTCAGTTCGTGCCGGCCCTGCCGCTTCGCGCTAGCCCCGTCAGTTCGCACCGGCCCCGCTAGTTCGCGCCGGCCCCGTCACTTCACGCCGGCCCCGCTAGTTCGTGCTGACCCCGTCAGTTCGCGCCAGCCCCGCTAGTTCGCGCCGGCCCCGTCCGTTCGCGCTGGCCCCGCTAGTTCGCGCCGGCCCCGTCGCTTTGCGCCGGCCCCATCACTATGCGCTGGCCCCGTCAGTTCGCGCCGGCCCTGCCGCTTGGCGCTGGCCCCGTCAGTTCACACCGGCCCCGCTAGTTCACGCCGACCCCGTCACTTCGCGCCGACCCCCGTCAGTTCGCGCCGGCCCCGCTAGTTCGCGCCAGCCCCGTCGCTTCAAGCTGGCCCCATCACTTCACGCTGGCCTCGTCAGTTCGCGCCGACCCCGCTAGTTCGCGCCGGCCTTGTCTGTTTGCACCGACCTCGCTAATTTGCGCCGGCCACGTCGCTTCGCTGGCCCCGTCAGTTCGCGCCCGCCCCGCTAGTTTGCGCCGGCCCCATCACTTCGCACCGGCCCTGTCACTTCACGCCGGCCCCGCTAGATTGCGCTGGCCCCGTCACTTCACGCTGGCCCCGGTAGTCCGCATCGGCCCTGCTAGCCCGTGCCGGCCCCGCTAGTTCGCGTCGGCCCTGCCGTTTCGCACCGACCCCGCCCCTCCGTGCCAACCCTGCTTGTCCGCAATGGCCCCTGCTCGCACCGGCCCTAGTTCGCACCGGCCCCTTTTCCCGCCGTGCCACGGTGCCGCCATGCTGCCGTGCTGCTATGCTGCCATGCCGCCGTGACACCGTGCCGCCGTGCTGCCGTGCCGCCGTACCGCTGTGTCGTCGTGTCGCCGTGCCGCCGTGTCGCGGTGTCGCCGTGCCGCCGGGCCGCCATGCCGCGGTGCCGTTGTCAGCTGTTGCGGCTGTGGTGATGGCGGACGCTGTGCTCCGCCTGGACGCTGAGGGTCGGGTGATCAACTTTGAGGCGTGGCTCGTAGACCTCCGCCGTCAGCTTACAGGTCCGTGCAAGACGGCTACTCCCAGGCCGTCCATATCGACAGTAAGCTTCCCCGCCCCATCGCACCTGCTGCCCTCCCTGACACTCCCATGTTTGCTGAGCATGAGGCCTTTGCCGCTGCTGAGCTTGCCCGCGCTGTCTGGGAGTCGCGCGATGCGGTAGCACAGCTAGCTATTAGTCACGCTCTCCAATTGTCGAAGCGTCCCCGCTTTACTACTGTAGCGAATGCGAAGGAATACTTGGATGCAGTCATCGCGTGCTATTCCACTCCCTCCTCCGCCTCAGTTGGTCGTCTAATCCTCCCCATGATGTTCCCGGATCTTGCATCCTTCCCCACTGTCATTGACCTTGCCACTCATCTGCATTAACTTGAGACTAGTTACCGCGCTGCTGGCACTGCGGCCTAGCACACTGCATTCCCTCCTCCCCTCTGCGCTACCCTTTACCTAATTGCAACGTGCCTCCCTGACCACCTAGCCACTGCCCACGACCACTTCCTTAGTCAGCACCCAGGTGACATCACCCTTCCTGCCTTTGTCATCGCCCTGTCCGTGATAGATACCCGCCAGCGCACTATCGCCCAGTCTAGCGGTACTGCGGCGGTCCCACTCTTCCGGGGCTGTGCTACCTCCCAGTGCACTTACTCTGACGTCTCTGCTGCTGTTGCTGAGACGGCACCTGTTACTGAGACTGCTACAGTAGCCTCGGCGCAGGCTCGTCACGATGGGGGACGTCGGGCCCGGGGGGGCGTGGCGACGGGAGGGGTGGGGGGGGGTGGCGGAGGTGGCGGAGGTGGCAATGGTTGTGGAGGGGATGGTGGTGCAGACGAGGTGACCCGGGCTGATGCCCCGGTGCAGCAGCAGGAGCAGCAGGAGCAGCAGTAGTAGCAGCAATCGCAGCAGTAGCAGCAGCCGCTGTGGGGACCCCCGCCACCGTGGTGGCCCGGCGGCGCTGGTGGTGGTCGTCGTGGTGGTGGGCCGCGCAACACGGTGTCGGGTGGCGGCTCTAGTGTGGTCACCTGCCAGTACCAGCTTCAGTCCGGCCCCCGCCGCGACAGCGTCTGCGACCATCCCACTCACTCCGCCGCCCGCTGCTACCGCCGCCTGGACGACCTCTTCCGTCTCCGCTTCGGCCCCGCGTCGGACCCCCTCGACTGGTACAGCCTGGTGCGTTGCCGTGTGCCTGGATTTGAGTTGGATATGGATAAGATTAGGTATGTTAAGTATGTCATGTATGCTGATGACTCTAGTGTGACTGGACCCTATTACCCTGTCTTGCCTAGTGTAGGTGTGTCCACTATGTGTAGCCTAGTTTCCCCTAATACGTCAGGCGTAGGACCACCTGCCTTGTTTAGCCTCGGATCCACTCTAGCTCCTCCACCTTCGGACGCCACTGCCGCGCTCTCTTTCACGCTAGACTCAGGTGCGTCCACCTGCTTCTTTCACGACCACATTGCACTCACGCCACTTGCCGCCATTGCCGCTGTAGCGCTTGCTGACCCCTCCTTAGGTCTGGTAGTTGCACTTAGCTCCACTACCCTTCCCTGTCCGGCGGTTCCCTCGGGCTTCCTTACAAGCTTGCACATCCCCTTGTTCTCCAGGAACGTAGTTGGTGTCGGCTGTCTTCGGGACCTCGGCGTCACCGCTACGTTTCCTGGACACGAACGGTACGCAGTCTGCACTGAGGCCGCCACTGGTGCCCGTCTCACCACGTTCCCCCGGGACCCGGTGTCTGGCCTGTTCACTCTAGACACCGCGTCCCCTCCGGCGGGAGCGTCCCTTCAGGTGGTCGCGCCCTCCAAAGTCACCGCGACTTGCTCGTGTCGCTCGCTCACCCACCCGTTGCTGCTGTGGCACCACCTTTTGGGTCACCCCGCACTCCCACGTCTGCATCACATGTCCCAGCACGGTCTTGTCTTAGGTCTCCCTGCATCACTCCTTGCCCTCCCTCCCTAGTTTGCGCTGCCGTGCACGCCCTACGTCGAGGGCCGGCTGCGCCATGCCCCTCACTCCTCCTCGCTTCCCCCTACCATTGCGCCACTCCAAACCATGAACCTGGACGTCTGGGGTCCAGCCCCCATCCTTGGGCCCCGTCGAGAGAGCTACTTTCTGGTGCTCATTGACGACTACACGCGCTACACCACGGTGTTTCCCCTGGAGCGGAAGGCCGACGTGCCCGACGTTCTTATCTCATGGGTCGTCGCTGCGTGAGTCCACCGCAGCCTCCCTGTGCTGCGTCTTCACTCTGACTGTGGCGCTGAGTTCGCCTCTGGTCAGCCTGGCCAGTTCTGTCGTGCGGAGAGCATCACCCAGTCGTACACTCTGCCGGACTCCCCGCATTAGAATGGGGTTGCTGAGCAACGCATCAGTTTGGTCATGGAGGTGGCTCATACCTCCATGATCCATGCCATTGCACCCCATTTTCTGTGGCCGTTCGCTGTTCGCTACGCCGCTCACCAGCTTAACCTGTGGCCACACTCCCAGCAGCTACGTTTCACCGACCCTCCTCTGGACCAGGTCCCCTGGTGACGCTTTTGCGTTCCACGTCTGGGGATGCCTCGCTCACGTTCGTGCCTCTAGCACAGACAAGCTCACTGCCCGCACTGTCACTTGTGTCTTCCTTGGCTTCCCCCTAGACACGTTTGACTGGCACTTTAGCACCCGCCGTCTCACAAT